GTTGAGCGACACCAGCTAGTCGGGCTCTTCAACAGCATTCTGAGAGAGGCTAGGGTCATTGAGTCTGAATGGACCGTGTCATGGTGATACTCCCCGAACCAGATGGTGGAAACCGGAGGAGAAGGGATGATGATAACTTTAAATCATGTCCACTGACAAAAAGACAACTGACATTTTTGAGTTGAAATGACAGAAAACACACTGCAGCTTGTTCTTAGTTGAGGTAGATGATGAGATCTAAATCTACATAATAATCATAGCCTTTGTTATCACCTCACAGATGGAGTGTCACAGTGTAACACGGATGCAGTGTCATTCCCAGTCAGTAAATATAAATGTCATTACTGTTGTTACTACAGAATGGGGGAAGTTTTATATTCCCAAACAAATCCCTTAATCGTGCCTTCTCTGCTCAGATAAGAGCACCAACCTGTGCAGTTATGTGCGAGTGTCTTTGTGTAGCTTTGTCTCTCTGTCTGCATCGTAACTATTCATACTTTTCTGTCTGTCTGCAGATTACGAGGTGGATCGTCATCATCAGGCTTTCATTGGCTTATCAGCAGTGGCTGGGTTTCTGGTTCTGGTTTTTATAGTGGGAACTTCTTATACTTGGTGTTTAAGGAGAAAAGCAAATAGGTAAAGTGCTATAATCATGTAATCATGGATACATCTATCAGTGTGCTTGTTGCCAAATCAATACGTAAATACAATTCACATATTAAGGTCAAAACTTTAAAGCATTACAAAGGAAACCCAAGAATTCCCCTTTAAGCAAGCAATAGTAAGGTTGGGTTTGGGGAAACCTGCAGTCAGCTGAGACTGAAAGCAAAGTCCAGATGAACAGAATCAACCTTCTGGGATTTACTTACCTGGATGACTGAGCGTGCATCAAGACGCCTCTCCTTCTAGTTTCTCTCAGGACTCTTTCTGTAACATTTTGGGTCAAATAAAGGTTTTCAGACAATACTCCAGCCTAAAAGAAAGACATACATAAGAGTCACCAAGGTAACTTTGAACTTATGGTTGGAATGTGCAGATATTCTGAAGCAATAAAACAGTGAACATAAATCCTGTTAAAGTGCAAATATTTCACTGTGAAGTTTGTAACAAAGCTGATGCTGCATCCTGCGATCTGACCCATTCTTTTTGTTTTTGTCCTCTCTTCTCAGATCCAAACCAAAGCATGCTGCTGCTGCTGCTGCTGCTGCTGCTGCTGATGATGATGACGATGATGATGAAAAGGCTGACAAAACGCAAACTGTCTTTTAAGAATTTGTTTTACATAATAATCTAGGTTGAGAAATCCTCTATTGTTTAATACAAATGTGAAAGTTCAGCACAGAAGCACTTCTTAATCAAAAATAATAATAATTCATGATTCACAGCAGTTCGGTGATTTTGTTTGTTCTCCATTTTTCATTGTAACTCTGATCATTTGTGAACTTAAATATACTATCAAAATGTTTCCTTCCATCTGTCCACGTTCTCCCACTTATCCAATTCAGAGTTGCAACTCCCTACAACCCAACCCGACTATATTAATGGCAGCAACATGACTCATAAAAAGAGTTTCCCACTGTGAGGCATCCCATCTTCTTTTAACAGCAGCCAGTAAACATCTGGGAACAGAGGAGAGCAGCTGCTGGGCTTCAGAGAGAGGACTGTTGTCCCTTTCTTCTCTCACAGAGGTTTCTCACTGCTTTGCTGTATCGTTCATTTCATGGTGTATCAGATGTTTCGGGTCAGTCAAAGGTCTGGATGCAGGCAGTTCAACACCTGCACTCTTCTATGAAGCTGTGCTGCTGGAACAGCTGCAGTGTGTGGTTTAGTATCGTCCTGCTGAAATGTGCAGGTCTCTCCTGAAAATACGTCCTCTGTTGCTCTGAAACCTGTACACACCTTCCTGCATCGATGGCCTCTCCAGATGTGCCAGCTGCTGATTCCATAGGCATTAATGCGCCTCCACACCATCAG